GCGAGTGCCTGTTCAAGGTCAACCTTTGGATATATATGACCAGGTTGTGAATACTATTATGGAGTATATAAAGCCTGAGGAGAGCATTATTCTCAATGTTTTATCTGCCGCTGTTGATTTCTCAACTTGTGAGTCCATTAGGATGTCACAGACTGTTGACAAAACGGGAGCGAGGACTCTTGCTGTTGTCACAAAAGTTGATATGTTCCCGGATGGACTGTGTGAGAAAGTAAATGCTGATGATGTGAACATCGGTCTTGGCTATGTGTGTGTAAGAAATCGCATTGGAGATGAGTCCTACGAAGAAGCTCGTGAAAAAGAAGCCAAACTATTCAAGACACACAAGCTTTTGTCCAACATTGACAAGTCCATTGTTGGTATTCCGGTTTTGGCAGAGAAGTTGGTTCAGCTTCAAGCGGCTAGTATTTCCAAAATATTGCCTGAGATTGTTAAGAAGATCAATGACAAACTTGATTCTCAGCTTTCCAAGCTGGAAAAATTTCCCAGAAAACTCACCTCCTCGGTTGATGTTATGTCTGCATTCATGGATGTCATTGGGTTGACAAGGGAGTCCCTATGCAAGATTCTTCTGAAGGGAGAATTTGACAAGTACCCTGATGACAAACAAATGCATTGCACTGCTCGCCTTGTTGAAATGCTGGATCTGTACTCTAATGATCTCCGCCAGGGTTCTGAAAGTAGTGCTGAAGAGAAGTTTTTGATGGAAGAAATTAAGGTGCTAGAAGAAACCAAGCGGATTGGACTTCCAAACTTCATGCCACGCACTGTTTTTCTTACACGTTTACACAGTAAAGTGGAATCCATTTCAAGCATACCAATTAAGTTCATTGACAAGGTGTAGGACTATCTTGAAGATGTGGGGGTAACTATCCTGAAACATCACTCAGAACATTATCACCAACTTCAGACATCTTTAAGACTTGCTTGGCAGAAGCTCATTGCTAAGATGAGGGAAAATTCTATGAAATATATGCAGGAGGTTGTAGAAATGGAGAAGCTGACCGATTACTCTTGCAATCCTGAATACACAATTGAGTATAATAAACTGATTGCCAGCCAGAATTATTTGGTGGAAAATGTTAAAGCACGTCCTTCCCTGATGATATCTATTAATGGTTTTGGGACTGTTGCGGTTAGTCATCTGACCCTGTACACAACTTTACTTCCGCAAGCTTTTGACTTGAAAGTGAGACTAACAGCATACTGGAAGATTGTGCTTCAGAGGCTTATAGACAACACTGCACTGCATTTGCAATTCAGCATTTTCAACCTTCTGAACAAGGATCTAGGATATGAGGTTTTGAAGGATATGGTGTCTCCTAGTGGAGGTGGAATAGAGAGATTGTTTGAGGAAACTCCTTCAGTTGCTGTGAAGCGTGACAATCTCAATAGGAGCATTAAGATTCTCAAGGATAGTAAGGAAGTGGTGGCTAGCATAATTGACAAAATTTCTACCTATGGTAATCAGAATTAGGAATGTCTTTTTTGATGTTTGTGACCATGTTAATGTTGCATCTAAGGTTTTAGATCAAGTGTCCCTAAAGTGGTAGATGTATAGGTTTTGTGTTGGTGTATTCTCTAGTTTTTTAGTTTTGTGTGTGGTGTCGTTTATGATTACAATGAATGTGTGATTAGGATCCCAATGAATGTGTTGACGTTTTATCCTTGTTCTTCCTAAAGTGCTGTCCGGCAAAATGACTGACTTGAACTACCAAATGTTGCATGTTTTTTGTTTGTTTTCCAAGAGTATTCACCGTCAAATGTTGGAGGAATGAATCATAAGTTGTCTTGGTACATTTAGAATCATTTCTGGCTTCTTTTTTAACCCCAGAACCAACCTTCCAAAAATTTGTGTCAACAAATTTCTCGCTTCACGGAGTTGATGTGGCCCAACAGGAATTATAGGTGTCTTGTTTCATGCAATTGATAATATCAACTTTATTAGCGTTATTAGCATTAGATGCTAACAGGAGAGAGAGAGAAATGTATGCCATTTTAATTACAAAAGAAAAATAAAATAAAATAAAGCTTGAATCTAAGGGGTAAACAACTGTGATTATAGTAAACTTTAAAAAAATGTATACGATCATGTTCTATATTGTTGGGATTTACATAACAAATATGCACATAACAAAACAAAATGGCGCGTGATTGAAAGCATTGCATCCAGAGTAAACCACTGTAATGATCTATAACAGTGAGATGATTCAATGTCCATGGACCTATTTGATGTAGGTAAGTTCTAAAGGAAGGAAAAAACATAAGTTAATCTACTGAGTTTGGAATTAATTGCAAACTCCAACTTGACTCAACTTAAAATTGTAGAAGTTTAAACTGTAAAATTATAAAATTATTAAAAAATTACAAAATAAAAGGTTTCAAAATTATAAAATTGTAAAAATGAGAATTAGATACAAATTTACAAAAAAGTTATGTTATTATTTATAGATATTGTCGATAGGTAATTTATAAAATGGTAATTTATAAATTTCATCTATAAGTAATTATTTATAAATTTTATATATAGGAAATTTTGTGCGGACTAAATTTGTATGTAATTAAATAGTGAGATTATGTAATGTCACTATAGGATTAATTAGTTTTAATAACATTTATTTTTGTTACATTTATTAAAAATGTTATGTATACCTATATTGATTTGTTAAAAATGGGTAAATAATATAGAATGTTGAAGTCTGATTTGATATTGGTTTATAAAAATGGGTTGGATTAGATTGGTATGTTAATTGGAAATGAGTTGAATTTTATTGTTCAATTTGACATGTTGTCGTTTGTTTTTTTTTTATCATTAAAAGTGTAATATTACATGAAAATGAGTTGATTTTCTTTTTTACATCAAAATGGCTGATGTCGGATTGCTATAGGTTGATTTTGAACTGAAAATGGCTAAAATGGTCATCATCTGAACCGTTTTAGATCTTAGTCGAGCTGTATCAGATATTAGTCTAGCCATATCAAATCTTGGTCAAACTGTCATATTGTGTTAATATAAAGTGTTGTAGTGTGAGTTTAATTTTTTTTTAATGAAAACAAATTGTTGGACAATCTTATTAGACATCAGACTTAACGGATTAGGTTCGTTCAGACTCTCAAGTTAAAAACACTATCTTAATCCACTTTTTTTAATTAGGCTGACATCCAACTTAATAATTTTGTCATATCTAACAATACTTGTTTAAAAATATTACCACAATTAATACAAATAATAATATTGTAACATTTTTAAATAAATGTTACTATAGATAATTAATCAAGTTTCCTTTTTTTTTCAATTGTAAATTTATAGAACATTTTAAAATAATAACAATAAATTTATTAATTAATCAATTTTATAATAACATTGCAACAATTAATATTAATTTAAAAATTAACATTTTAAAGTAATATTTTAATTTATTTAAAAATAAATTTAAATTAACAATCGTTTGAAAATAAGAACACATATCTAACGGTAATACATTGTTTTCAATCTAAACTTTGTTCCTCACTTCTATTTCCATCTTCTGGTAATATCATTATATCATTATTCTGGTAATATCATTATGTGTGCTAAACACAAGGACAAGCAAGATCAGTGCGATAAAAGAGAAATTTGTTTCCAAAGAATCTGAATATATGGGTGTAATATTGTGAAATAGTTGATTCACCTTGTTTGCAATTGTGAATGCCTGCCTTCCTGAATGCGGAACTTATCACCATGAGAAAATCTTTGGAGAAGATCACTCCAAATGTCTGAATCCATCCACATAATTGATTGTTTGATATTGCTGATCATGGAGCGAGTAAGCCATTCGATCACCATCTTGTTGCAATGCTTCTAGGCTTCATGCAGAAGATCAGTGCGCGATGGGCAGGAGAGGGTACCAAGAAGAAACTTTTCTTTGTTCTTGGTTTCAAAAGCAACAAACACATCTCGTTTCCATTGCTGATATCAAGGGTTTGTGAAACAAGATTGAGAGCAGGACTTTCTCCTGGTGAGATGATCCAATTGAGGAGTGGTCATGGAGAGATGAGAGAAGGAGAAGAACAACGGAACAAAGATTAACCTGATACCATGTGAGTGTATTGAAGAAGAGAAATGAGGTAAAGGAAATCCTTTATTAAAACAATTACATAAGAGAGGCATTGAATATATAGGTATGTTCAAGCCATTAGAAAAGCTGAACAAAACTAAAAAACAGAAGCAACAGAAAAACTGATATAACATGAAAACTAAAAGCTGAAGAAGATATTAATGATATCTCGTGAAAATGGAAGGTTATATGCATGTGCGAAGAGCACTCTTGCTTACTCTGGCGTGTCGATGATAAAAAATTTCAAGGCATATGGTAAAGAATTTAATTAATATCATTATTAAAAAATAATAAAAATGCATCATTATTAAATTTTAAAAAAATGGTTAAATATTCATGAACCATCGTAGATAATTGGTTTTGTTATAAATTACACAATACTTATCAAACAATATATTTCATTTTTGGATTTTCAAAACATGATGTAATTTTTTAAAATATAAATTAAAAGATAAATAAATATTAAATTAAAATAAGAAACCATTTAAAAAGTTTAATATATAAAAAAATCATTTTAAAACAACATATTAATTAACCTATTTCCCAAAGTAATAAACTTTGTTATTATCATTCTGAAAGCAGCAAAACTTTATAACACAGAAAAAGTGAGATGCAGGATGGATTGCTCAATAGAGAAAATTTTAAGTATTTATTAATAACACACGGCAGAGTTACAGAGGTTTAAACATTATAATGGAAGTTAAGGAGAGGAAACAGGGGAAGGGAAGAACTTTCAAGAATACCAGACATACCCTTAATACAGTTACAAATTATTATATATAGAACACACATTGCAGTTACTAACGGGTAAATGTTTCCCTTATCTTTGATCAATAACTTCCAAGTTTTGCGCATCTCTCGCTTACTGCGCCTCGATTCAATCGTTACCACATTCCCTAATATGTTGTTGATACAATTAACTACAAGGATCTCCACTCTTACCAACACCACATTCCTCCTGACTCTTGCTCCACTCAGTCTCGTTCCAATTCGTTACCTTACCCTCACTTGGAAATGGCAGAAGGAACCCTCGCCTCTGTTTTCGATCATTCAACACCAAAAACTGAGCTATACGACGTTAAAAATGTTGCACCTATGGTGTCTTCTTACAATCAGCGCATACGTCCGATCCTTGACGCTCTTGAGAACCTGAGGCGGCTAAACATCACCAAAGAAGGGATACAGCTTCCAGCCATAGTGGTAGTTGGTGACCAATCTTCTGGAAAGTCCAGTGTCTTAGAATCTCTGGCTGGAATCAACTTGCCCCGTGGACAAGGTATCTGCACAAGGGTACCCTTGGTCATGAGGCTCCAAAACCACTCACATCCCAAACCAGAGTTGGAGCTGGAGTATAATGACAAACATGTGCCCACGGATGAGGCTCACGTCTCTGAAGCCATTTGTGCTGCGACAGATGAACTTGCCGGCTATGGGAAAGGAATTTCGAACACCCCATTAACTCTTATCGTGAAGAAGAATGGTGCTCCTGATCTCACCATGATCGATCTTCCCGGCATTACGCGAGTGGCTGTTCAAGGTCAACCTTTGGATATATATGACCAGGTTGTCAATATTATTATGGAGTATATAAAGCCTGAGGAGAGCATTATTCTCAATGTTTTATCTGCCACTGCTGATTTCTCTACCTATGAGTCCATTAGGATGTCGCAGACTGTTGACAAAACGGGAGCGAGGACTCTTGCTGTTGTCACAAAAGTTGATAAATCCCCGGAGGGACTGCCTGAGAAGGTAAATGCTGATGATGTGAACATCGGTCTTGGCTATGTGTGTGTAAGAAATCGCATTGGAGATGAGTCCTACGAAGAAGCTCGTGAAGAAGAAGCCAAACTATTCAAGACACACAAGCTTTTGTCCAACATTGACAAGTCCATTGTTGGTATTCCGGTTTTGGCAGAGAAGTTGGTTCAGCTTCAAGCGGCTAGTATTTCCAAAATATTGCCTGAGATTGTTAAGAAGATCAATGACAAACTTGATTCTCAGCTTTCCAAGCTGGAAAAATTTCCCAGAAAACTCACCTCCTCGGTTGATGTTATGTCTGCATTCATGGATGTCATTGGGTTGACAAGAGAGTCCCTATGCAAGATTCTTCTGAAGGGAGAATTTGACAAGTACCCTGATGACAAACAAATGCATTGCACTGCTCGCCTGATTGAAATGCTGGATCAGTACTCTAATGATCTCCGCCAGGGTTCTGATAGTGCTGATGAGAAGTTTTTGATGGAAGAAATTAAGGTGCTAGAAGAAACCAAGCGGATTGGACTTCCAAACTTCATGCCACGCACTGTTTTTCTTACACGTTTACACAGTAAAGTGGAATCCATTTCAAGCATACCAATTAAGTTCATTGACAAGGTGTGGGACTATCTTGAAGATGTGGGGGTAACTATCCTGAAACATCACTCAGAACATTATCACCAACTTCAGACATCTTTAAGACTTGCTTGGCAGAAGCTCATTGCTAAGATGAGGGAAAATTCTATGAAATATATGCAGGAGGTTGTAGAAATGGAGAAGCTAACCGATTACTCTTGCAATCCTGAATACACAATTGAGTATAATAAACTGATTGCCAGCCAGAATTATTTGGTGGAAAGAGTTCAAGCAAGTTCTTCCCAGACATTTCCTAAGTGTTCTTCTCAGATAGTTATTAATGGTTCAGTTCGTAAGTGTTTTTCTCAGATAGATATTAATGGTTTTGGGAGTGTTCCGGTTAGTCATCTGACCCTGTACACAACTTTACTTCCGCAAGCTTTTGAGTTGAAAGTGAGACTAACAGCATACTGGAAGATTGTGCTTCAGAGGCTTATAGACAACACTGCACTGCATTTGCAATTCAGCATTTTCAACCTTTTAAGGAAGGATCTAGGGTATGAGGTTTTGAATGATATGGTGTCTCCTAGTGGAGGTGGAATAGAGAGATTGTTTGAGGAAACTCCTTCAGTTGCTGTGAAGCGGGACGATCTCAATAGGAGCATTAAGACTCTTAAGGAAAGTAAGGAAGTGGTGGCTAGCATAATTGACAAAATTTCTACCTATGGTAATTAAAATTAAGAATGTCTTTTTTGATGTTCGTGACCATGTTAATGTTGCATCTAAGGTTTTAGAGCAAAGTGTCCGTTAAGTGTTAGTATAATTAGATATATGGTTTTTAGGTTGCTGTGTTCTCTAGGTTTAGCTTGGTGTGTGTTGTAGTTGTATAACTCGTAGTGTGTGATTTGGCTCCCACGTTAGTTATTCTTTTTCTTGTTGTCTTATGATCAAGGCACTGAGTTAGGTTCACAATGATGGGTTGACGTTTTATCCTTGTTTCTTGAATACCCTAAAGTGCTTTCCTGCAAAATGACTGATTTGAATGTTGCATTGTTTTGTTCTTTCTGTTTGTCTTCCAAGAATATCCGTCCCCCACAATATCAGTTGTTTTATATAAACTTTAAGTTGTACTTTTTTTATATATGACTTCAATATTCATTTTATACATGATTGAGAATTTAATAAAAAGATTAATATTAACCTATCTGATAAAAAAAAATATAACAAATGGAAGAACATAAGTTAATAGAATTAGGTTAGTTGCAACAAAATCCAAATTTCTCTCTATTTAGTTGGGTTAATAAACTGTTCTTCCCTTTTTGTTTTCTTTTTCAAAATTCAACACAAGATAAAATTTGGAATGTGGCCACCCATAATCAGAAGGTTCATACCAAAAGCGCATTTTTATCCGTTACAAACACATAATTTATTACAGTTTACATTGCGTATGAATTAAGCTTTTACCATATTTTTGTGCGTAAAACTAGGGAGAGACTCCAAGCAGAAAACTATATACCACGGGAGAAACCAAAAGTATTTACATAAGTCAAAATGGCTAAAGAAAAAATAAAGATTAAACATCATAACAAGTTTTTAACTCTTAGAAGTAACCTATCTGTACACTACTAAATACAAATAAAAACAAAATAAAGGTGACAGAAAAAATATTCTCGTAGTCTTCTGGAGAGACCTCTGCAGAAAGCAGAGAACTACTCCAGTGAGTGGAAATGGAAGGTTATATGCATGTGCGAGGAGCATTCTTGCTTAATCTGGCTGTTGATGATAAAAAATTTCAAGGCCTAAACAGCTGGAGCAACCACTGCTAATTGGTAAGTGCGTATCCAAGTTGTTGACAGGGGTAGCTAACTATTGTCAGTTGAACAATGATCCTCAATATTACTGCTAGTGTGAGTATTACCACCAGATGCTGAGCTGAATGTATGAGACGATGAATTACCACTCAAACTCTGCTTTGATCGATGTTGATGGAGGTCCCTTAAGGATTTGAACCTTAAATCCTCACTGTAGGTACTTGGTTCTGGAATTGCATCAGGAATATCTAATTCTCCTTCAAACATATTCACCACCTCAGACATCGTAGGCCTAAGAGATACAGAAGCATTTGTGCACAGGAGAGCAATTCTGACCACCTTTTCTAATTCCGTTTCATTAAGGTCTGGCCCCAACCTTTCGTCAACAATCCCCACTAATTTCTTAGCTTGATTTAACTGACATGCCTGAAAATACCAATTATTGTTATCTTAAAAGGATTAAGTAACTTTAAACAAGTAATGGCAAGAAGAATGATGGGTTTATAATTGAAAAAAATACAGCTAGGTGCTTTGAGCATACCCAATCAAGAAGACAAGCACTTCCATCGTCTGGTAGATAATTGTTATTGCTTTTCCCACTAATAATTTCTAATGCTACAACTCCAAAACTGTAAACATCGGCCTTGTAACTAAGATGGCCCCATAATGCATATTCTGGTGCCATATATCCTCTACGACAAAAAAAAAATGGAAAAGCAAATTTAGGTACTGGGAAATAATATTCAGAGATTTATGTATGATTAGTGCTAAGGCAACCTACATAGTCCCAGCAACTCGGGTGCTGATATGGGTTTTCTCTGTTTCATCAAGCCTAGCCAAGCCAAAGTCAGATATTTTTGGATTCAAATCCCCATCGAGTAACACATTAGAAGCCTTGATATCTCTGTGCACTATCTTGAATCTTGACTCATCATGGAGAAATGCTAGACCTTTCGCTATGCCAATGCAAATCCTAAACCTTGTGGGCCAATCCAATTTAAGCTGTTGGTTCTCACTACCTACAGAGATCATGGGGCCTTACAAACATATTGCTGAAATCCCCTTTAGAGGGATCGTAGGCGAAATAATTTAGGCATAGAGAAATATACGTAAATATCAGATTTTTTATTCATACAGAGCTTCTTACATGACCACATATATGATCAAGAAATTGATGGACAAGTAATGACTAACCAAATAAAGCTCGGGCCAGGCTGTTATTTTCCATGTACTCATATACCAGCAAAAGTTGTTCCCCTTCAGCACAGTATCCATGAAGCTTTACGAGGTTGGGGTGTTGCACACAAGATATCAACCCTATTTCATTTATGAATTCCCGATTTCCCTGCCGTGATTTTGATGACAATTGCTTGACCGCTATAAAAGTACCATCTACCAATTGACCCTGCATTGTCGCATCCCGGTTACCAGAAACCTAGTGTACCAGGCATAAACAGAAAATTCCATTCAAATAAAGTAAAATTATTTGGAAGTTGTCTAAAAACCTTGTATACGGGACCAAAACCGCCTTCTCCTATCTTATTAGCAGAAGAGAAGTCATTGGTGGCAGCTCTGATATGCTCCAAGCTAAAATTACCTGCTTGAATATCTCCATCTTTTGCATCTGGCCATGTAAGTCATGCGAAATTTTTATTAGTCAGTAGTTATCTATATATCCTACTGTAAACAAAAGCCTCAAACTTATCAGTTCTGCATAATTAAAATAGTGATTGAAAGCAAAATAATTAGTTTGTGCAAACTTTTATTCTCACTCCCCTATGGATATTTCGTAGAATTCATCTTTCAATGTATAATACTTCACCTTCTTTCTTTCGCGGTTTCCCTCTGAAAAAGCCTTTCCACTTCCACCAAATGAGTCCAAATATAAAGAGCACTAAGCATACAGCACCGGCTACAATGGCAATGATTATCGAAACAGCAACTTTCTTTTGTCCATTTGAGCAAGTTCTAGAATCTGTTCAAAGAATAAGGTATCACACTGATATTTTACTCAGCACTACCCATCATATTCATAACATCACTTCGAAAAACACAATGTCATTCCACTCATAAGATTGCTGTCAATACTAAAATGTGTAGCCTTCAACTAATATACGTAGAAATGATATTGAGAGTATAAGGAATGCTTACCTAAGAAGTGACAAGAAACGGACATTGCATTTTGTCTTTACTAAGAAGATAAAGAAAGCCATATGAAGAATGCTATTTAAGAAACAAAAAAGAGCGTACCAAATTTAAAAATGAAAGCAGAACTACTATTTCATGATGCTCTTGTTCTCTAAGGGCATTCTTTTTTCAATAGTAACAGAGTAGTGTATTCTAGAAAAGTGATGTTAGACTTAGACACCGTAAACTGTGATGGTGACACTGACACCCTTCTTCGAATTCAAATACAATAAATTTACACCCATGTTGCCATGGGGTAGTATTCACCTGAAACCACAGATATAGCTGATACAAGGGGGCCATAAACTCCAACATCAGGAATTCTAGTCGTTCCTTTTCCAGCCCAGTAGAATCTAATCTCCAAGATATTATTTGTGATGCTGATATTGGGTATGGGCAGTACCAGTGGTTTTTCAGTAACATTCGTTTCATTCTCTATATTAAAATTTTTGCGAGTGATTCTTCCCTGAGACAAAGTCAATGCATTAATTCATAATCTGGAAATTAAAATAAAATTCATTAGTTAAATCGGTTACCTGAACATAGATATCAAATATGCGCTTCCCAAGACTTTTATATGTTCTATCATTTGTAAACTGTATCTCTGCAAAGTGAAGGTTTACAGTATAGTTCCCATTTTGCATGCAGTTGTGGAAATAAGTAAGTGTAATTGGAGATACACGCGCCGTTTTATATAATTCTGGCAGATTTGAAGATGGAAGAGATACAATGTAGCGTACGTTCTGGGACTCAAAATCATCCATGAAGTCCCCAGTGCTACTAAATCCCCAGTGATCATCATCACTGTAGAAATACGTTGCAGTGCCACCCTGAACATCTCCGTCTCCGGCATAAAGCTTTTCTCCTCTATCATCTTTTACCCTTACATCCTTCCCACCACAGTTAACATGTAAACAACTTGAAACTGAAAAATGCTTGAGAAATTAAAATAGTGTGAGAGGATTTTTTTGACAGTGAATAAGAAAATTTACAGTACAAAATTTCATATGCAATTCAACATAACTGTCATACAAAGCAAAGAGTTATTTTGTACTATGCATTTACTTTCATTTCAATGTTGCTACATATACACATATTTACACACAAATCACCTTACAATTTTCATCATTTGACTAAGCAACATTTCCACTCGTGTACATTTTGATCCAACTATATATATTCCGCTAGTATGAGGTGCACATCTAATTTGGAAGATCTTTGGGCTTCATCCTTCTAATTCGAGGTAATTTTTATAAGGTCTTGCCTTTTCTGGCTTACCAGTTTAAAGGGGTGTGATATTCTAAATAATAGAGAATAATCTAGTCAAGTACAATAAGATTTCCTAATACAGAGGATGTTTAATATTTTTAAATCATGTAATTTAATATAACTTACACCGTGAACAACTGAAATTCTTGTAGCAAGGAACATACTCCTCCCTGTCAATTGCAAAATAGAAATTCCTCAATAGTTTTCAAATACAAATTAATTAGTATGTACTGTACTTATAAAAAAGTTTGAATATCTTTGACAAACCTTTTTCCATACATTCTCCTCCCTCAAAAGTTTTGTGGGACATTATAAAATACATTAAGTACTAAATTATGTATTAGAAAGACAGTGTGAATCCTGTATTGTTTGCATTTGCTAAGAAAATTTATAATAATTTATTACTATATCATTTTCTCATTAATTAAAGTAGAGGAAAATAATGATGTTAAAACAATAGTCAGGACTAGCACAGCACTTGTTTGGTCTACATGCCAATTAAATTCTTGAAAATAAATTTTTCAATTAGGCTTCTTGGCTAATCAAAACTAGAGAAGCGGTCTTACAACTTATTCTTCAGAAGCGAGGTTCTGAACAAATTCAGATTCAAGTTCCTGCTAAGTGAAACAGCAAGAAACAAATTTCAGTTTAGAAAAATATAAACTTGAAAAATATAAAGGAAATACTATTGAAAATGTTTTCACTGACATGCCATCCTGACAAGCAGGTTGCTCGTAGTCTTGCCAAGTAAAGTTGTTGTATGATAGATCACTGTGTCCAACACAATAAGAGAGCTTTTGTCAATAAACCATAAATTGAAGT